GCAGAGAGAATTGTGCGTTCAGTGAGAAAGGTTGGAGTCACTATACCAATCACATCCAATTGTGGATAGATTTTAAATATCAATTCATTTAGATTGTGACACCGGTTTATTGTAGATGGAAGTTGCACAATTTCACGTGGATTGGTCCCAATCTAAAAAATGAGAGTATAATTAGTCACAAAGTGAGATTTAATTCAAAGCATCATGTTAAAAAATTCAACAATTCAAGGTGGAATGAAATATTACCTCCATCAAGAATTTAGCAAAATTAGTATTTCGAACGTCGGTGCGAGTTAATCGCATGTTTAAACCTAGAGTCAAAACACATATATCTTTCCATAGCAAAGACCGTCTCAATGATGCACCCACAATTTGCTCACGAACGCCTTTAGGAATAACAGGCAATATTTGTCGAAAGTCTCCACCCAGGACAACAGTGATACCCCCAAAAGGTCTTTTATCGTCTCTGATATCTTGAAGGGTGCGATCGACTGCCTCAACACAGTATCGATGCTGCATAGGAACTTCATCCCATATTATCAACTTTGTTTTTCTAAACAATTCGGCATGCATTGATTGTTTAGTGAACCCACATATTGAATTGTCTAGGGTTTCCAAAGGAATACAAAATGTAGAATGTGCAGTGCGCCCCCCTACCAATAACAACGATGCAATACCAGATGAAGCCACAGTAACAACAACATGTCCATAACTACGCAATTTGGTTGTAATGGTATTGTACAAAAACGTTTTTCCCGTCCCAGCACCTCCACTCAAAAAAAAAATAGTTGCTATGTTTTCACATACTGACGTTGTGACGGCAGTATAAGCAGCAAGTTGTGCATCATTAAGACCGTCAACATTAATTTGTGCATCAGACTGTTGTGCTTCATTCTGAAGTTGTTGATGCTCAAACAATAATCTATTTCTAACTGTTGCATTCCAATTTCCAATTGGTTGTGGCATGGGTGAAAAGTCAACTAAACTCTTCCCCGACTCATGAAGCAATTGATTAATCAAATATAAGTCATAATCTTTAATATGATCATTAGTTGGATTCAAAATACCAAACATAGATTAGTCATGTGTGAACAGCTGCAATATTGTATATAGATTTTTCATTTATTTAATGTGAAGATTAGTCAATATAGTTCTGCTTCTTATAAAAGAATTACTCAAATTATTCTTCACGCATGATCTCTCGAGGAAAAAGTTGTCAAAATAATGCAAGTATATGATAAAAAGTCACTAGAGACTTAATGCTTTTATTTTTCATTTTATTTAAGTCATGGTCACACAAGGGCTGTCCTAAACAGCCATACTATAACTAAATTACTCTACACAAGACTTCTCAATGGTGAGAAGTGTGAAGGAATTTACAAATTTGCGTTTTATAGGACATTCATTATTGTTGTTCCTTTTTTGGTGAAAAGAAAACAATAAAATGAGATACAAAAGAAATTGTATTCTATGGATTTGGATAAAAATAGCTATTTTGTGTTGGACTTAGATTAGACTTGAACCTTGATTAAAGAAACAAATAAGAGATAAACAAGGAATACATGAGAAGTTCTGAAATTAGATTTTTTTTATTCCATATCTATTAGAAAAGTTTCTTGCAAACTTTATATAAATACTCTATATATTCTAGAAATGTCTCTAATAAATTTTATCTAGACACACATAAATAAAGACACTCTATATATTTTAGAATATGTGTTGTAATCTTATTATAAATATTTTTTTTAACTGAAGACCAAACTATATAAATAAACTTGAGAATCTAATTAAATGTACGTTAGCATTCTAATTTTTGGCAACAACTAGAATAAATGTTGAAATAGACCGAAAACTCATTTCAATGCTTGAATTAGTCAATATTTTGCTGAAATTAAATTAATTTGATCGAAATACTCTCGATGATATTAAGATATATAAGTATTTTTAGCTCCCTAACTCTAGGTTCTCAGATCTCAGGGGGACCAAGACCCAAGAATTGAGATGTTGAAACTAGGACTTCATATCCAAATCTTAAACTATTGGAGATGGTATAATTTAAGAATTTATACTTCAACACAACCTAAACTTCGGACTAGAGTGGAGGAGAGGGAGAGGGAGATAGGGGTGATGGTTTGTGGAGGAGATTGTGGCAGTGATGTTGACGAAGAGTGGTGGTTGTTGGGAATGATGGTAGCAATGAGTAATGGTGGGTGGTAACGGGTAATGTATATCACCTCATACTTAAGAATGACTAATCTAATATTTATGGAGTTAGGCATTATATGATGACAGGAATGATTTTTCATTGAGTAATGCTACTTGGATCTTTCATTTACTGACCTAATTCATTATAACTGGTGGATTAACAATAAGTTCTTATGTTTAATAGAATCCACTATTAATCCAACAGCTGTAGTATATTAAGTAAGCAAATTATATTAACAAATTAAATTTCAATAGCATTATTATTTTTAATTAGTACAAACCAAACACTAAAATAAGCATCACTTATTGATCCATTACCACCAACCAAATATAGCATTAGTCATCTCTTCAGACTCTATGGGGAGGGTTTGCTTATGAAAATAATTTGATTGACTTTGCAATTGAGAATACTAATATAATAACTTGGTTTATCTTTTTAAATTTTTGCAGGTCACGGGTCGTAATTGGACCAACCATTGGATCTCAACCCGCCAGGATGTTGAACTGCCCGTGAGCCCACAACAAGGCAGACCAAAACGCCCAGGGCCCAACAGGCTATGGGCTTTACCCAGGCTTACCTCGGTTATTCTAAACTGGCTAACCTTTTTAATTATTGACTTCTTTGAAATAATTATAAAAAAATATATAGAACAAATTTACTTTCTTCAAATAGTTTTAGGAATATATCTTAATTAATTAATTAGATACACAATGATAATGGTTAATCGTTGAAATTTAAGAATATTTATTTGTAAAGATCTTTATCCTCTGAAAACATTTGGGCTTCTTCTTCCTCTCCAAAAATCACTTCATCTTCCTCAACGATAAGCCCTAAAATTATTCTCTGAATATCTATAAGGTTTCATTTTTGAAGGAAAAATCTTACTGTTCAACCCATTTGATGTAAGATCATTAACAACATTTATTTTTTGAAAATTTGTTCTCATTTGAAAATATGTACAAACTTCAGAATTTGAATACTAGAACTAGTTGTTGAAAGTTGATCGTTGGCCTGTGTAAAATACGATATTTTTGTCATATTAATTTATTGTGTGTGAACAAACTATGTGTATCTGCTAATTGTGTTTCGCTCATAGTCTAACAAAAATAATGTAACAATACACTGTCATAAAAATAGTGTAACAATACACCGTAACAAAGATAATATTTAGTGGTTTTGTGGATGTGATAACAAATTCAAAACAAAGCTGGATTGTTTGAATGAAATTATATGCAAATATATGTTTGACAAAATGTAATAGTACAATATTTTGTGTAAGTGTTTTATTGTATTGTTATTGTTACACTGTTATGGTGTTCGCATATTAAAAAATAAAATAATCCCCTTTAAAATGACAGACATAAATCTAATAGTCATGAATTTAAACTTTATAATTGTTTAGATTGAATGATAAGGATGAAATAATGTTTTTAGACTTGCACTAATAAGTGGCTTCTAGACCGAAAAAGAAGAAGATAATAAAAGATATTGTTGTAAAATTTAAAATTCAAACCAACTGATTTATTCTCAAAACAACTGGAAGAATCAAAGAATTAAATCTTCCATTAAATTAGAAGATTTTTAATACATACATTTATCCTAAAAAAAATGGAATGATCAAATCTTCCATTAAATTATGAGATTTTTAATGCATACATATAATCACAAAAAAAAAATCAAATTCCAAAAATAAATCGCATAAATTAAAAGAGAACACAAATGTCAAAGAAAAATTAAAAAATTTCAAATTATGTATTTAGACACAAATAAGAACTAAAATTAACAATTTTTTTCCTTACATTGTTTTTTGTGTATTTTTTTATTATTAACTCTAATTTAATTTACCCTTCCAATTTACCGTTAATTATTCCAAGGAGTAAAATGTTAAACAAACAAAGACCAAGGGGTCCACATGTGGTTCATCATGGGATAAAATCAAATGCCAACAAGTCAAAGAAGGATGATGGAAACAACTGAAACGGATCCTACGTTGAAGGACACAGAAAGCCATTAAAGCGTATGCTCAATTAGCGGATCTAGCCACATGAATTCCAGAAAATATAAAGTAGAGTTCTGTTAGAAAAATCTATGTGGCCAAGTGCTACAGAAAACTCGTTCCCCATACAATAGCCCACAGATTTCTGGCACAAAACAATGATCTCCGAGACAAACCTAACTACTTACTAATCAGGGGAAGAGAAACAACTCATTGATCCATGGAAGTTCATCTGTCATCATACAAATGTGCATTGTTGTATTTGAAGAACTCTAATTGCCACCAACAAATAAAACCATGTAGTATAACGTGTAAGCAGTATAACAATCTGGCAGAATCTAGTCACTCAATTCCGCTTCAAAGATGATAATCTTGCATCAACTGTAGAAAATACCAGCAGAGCTCATATGGTAATTCACCCAAGTATACCAATTACTGTACGTTGCAAGTATATTGTCATAGGCTTTGATGTAATAACTAATAAAGCAATTAATCAACATATAAGAAACTCCACTTCAGAGGTGCCGGGCACAAGAATGCAAGGTCCTTCAAAATCTGCTTGAATCTTTTATTTGCCTGTAAACTTTCATACCCCATTCTATTTCATCCCACAGCTCTGCCAGCCTTACCCTCAGTATCTAAACCAGAAACCCCTTCTGCTAAACTGCACAACATACCACACAAATGGAAGATTTGTTTTACTAGACTGTCACAGGGCTCTTGCAGCAATGGTTAGATTGTTTCTTACAGGAAGCAAATTATAACAGGGAATTAGAAAAACAATAAATGAGAAAAGAAAAAAAAAAAAAAGATACAATGTGCATACAAAATGAAATTTTCATTTTCAGGAAGAGATGGAACATACTTGGGAGGACCAGAAACAGGTATACTGGTATCCTGAAATCCATGAATCAAAGCAAACCCATTCTCTTCTCCTCCAGCCAACTCTGGTGGACCATGGGAGCTGACAGGTGAACTACATCTGGAGGACGCTCCTGGAAATAATGCAAAGATCTTGAGTACTGTGAATCATTAGCACAGAGTACCATGAAGAAATTTTATGTCTAATTTTAAATGTTCGTCAAGTTCTCTGGGTTTGTTCTCCTCCCTTTCAACTTAACTGAAGGGGCCCCCTAACTGGTCCTTTCCAAGCTAACAAAGCAGAAGACCTTCTATTTGACACAACAAATGAGGGTGATTTTAACAGTTCTACTAAACTAATGATATCAAAATGAAGATGGGCTTTTACAGGCTGGGTAGATTGCCCAAAACACATTTTGCTTCAAATGGTAGGCACTAGAAACACCACTTGCGAGGTTGTACCAAATACAAACAACTCATTAAGATCAACCAAATTATAATGAATGGAATCACATCCATCAGGAAAATATGTGGGTTGAAATTTTATCATGACAAAAGACTACACTATTTAGTTAATTTTGCCTCTCATCACAGTAATCAGATGAACGGAAAAAAAAGAAAACAAAGAAACTAGTAGACTGCAGCAACTATAGGAAGCATGAAACAAACAACAGATTAGTAGATGGAAAACAAACAGAGCTAAAGACGAGAAAAGTAGAAAGAGTTGTTTGGACTGCTAAACTATTCCCAGCAGAGACTGGGCAATTCACAACACAGTACTCATCAGTGCATGTTAAGTCCAACTCATAATAAAATAGTTAACATTACCTTGAAAAATTATCACAAGACAGAAAATCATTGTGAAAAGCGTCGCCAATAAGTTGCCATTTGGTGATGATGCCTTCGCAGCTTTCATTTTCTTCAATGCCTTCATCCGCTTGATCCTTGCACGCTTAATCATGGCAAGTTCAGCAATCTCTTTGATCAGCCTCTCGTCTGCAGCATCAAGTGACAATCCTCTGGGAGGCCGGGGAGGTTTGGGAGGCTTTTTAGCACTTGTTGATTTACGTTTGCTCTTCCCTGTTTTCTCCTCGGCTTGATTTGCGGCAACTACTCCCTCTACCTTCTTGTCCATCAAGGACTTTATAATCTCGGGAGAAGCCTCACTGCCATTTTTCAAGTTACTGTCCAAATTCACCCCATTCTTGCTTGACTCTCCAACATCTACAAACACACTGCAGACTTTGGTGGAAACCGCCTCCTCCAATTTGGCATTTGAAGTAGGGCCAGGGCCTCCCACTTCTTCGTTAGCAGTCCTACCACTCTCAAGATCAACTGCAAATTCTCTCTCTCTTAAAAGCATGTGCTCCATTAAAGAGCTCATACTCTTTTAGCTTCCACTCTCCTCCCACTTCAGATCCCCAAGCACTTCAGTATTTCAATGCTAACCCTCAAAAAAGAATGACGGAATTCGTCTCATCACAAGAATTCCATATAATTAAAGAAACTCACTTCTAATAATCAACAAATTTCTAATTATAATTTGCTTGGGCATTTCCAGTCATGGGCAGAATTAAAACTTCAATAGTTCAATCTAAACACCTATTATAAAACAAAATCGGTCGATACTATCCTTTTAAACTTTCCTTCCCCTCTTCAAACAAATCATCTAGTTGTAAAAGCGCCCGAGGTTCAACCTGCCAACAAAACCCTGAAAGTATTCTGAAACAAAAAAAAAAAAAAAATCATTAACAATTCAAACTTATGAACTAACAAAACCTTGAATGCCGAATCTATAGCCCTTGAACTTAAATTGAAACCAAAGTCACAAAATCCTCAAAAACAAGCTCAAACTAACAATGCAAGCTCAATAACAACAGAGAACCCGAAAACATAATCTCCATTACCGCCCATTAGAATCACAGGATTACCAATGGCACTAACAGCTAACTAGTACCCACACACACACACACACACACACACACACATATATATAATCAAAGAAAGGAAGTACCTTTGAGGTCAAGGAAAGAAGCAGCAGATCCAATGGGGACAAGATCTTGGAAGGAGATGAAATTGGGGAGGGGAAGGGGCGCTATATAAGATCTTGGTGGAAGTGGAACCGTGGAACCATACAAAGGGAGAGAGCGACAAATGAGGCTGAGCGCACGAGGGTTTTGGGGTCCATTGGACCATTGCCATTGGGGACAACCAAGGAGAAACCGCTCAATTTTCTCTTTTATCTTTCATTCTCATTCGCTCTACTCATCAAAGAATATTATTTATTTGGCTTTCAGTATAATAATTTGAAAATCTATGGGCTAATAATTTACAAGAATAACTGAAAAGTAATGAAGGCACGACAGTTCAAGAATCGCCACCGACACCCCCTCATGAGACTTTTCAAATAAAAGATTCAAAGCCCTGTTTTAACCCTTAAATTAGTGTAATTCTCACTTTCGACTCTGACTTTATACTATTATTTTTATATAATTCAAATAAAACTTAAAAAATTTTAATCAAAATATATATCTTTTTTTAAATAAGTGAGTTCCAGGTATACATGAAGCCTACCGCCGGATTTCCCCCACCCCCCCAAAAAAAAAAAAAAATCTCAGCCTATCTCCAATAACACTAGACAACCTTTTAAAAAATGTCATTGAATTCTAGAAGACCAAAACAATCTCTAAAAATTTATTGTTCAATATAATGGGGCTCCCCCAAGGAGGTTATATAGTTGGTTATCTATAAATAAAAATAAAAATAAAAATAAAAAACTCCAATAAGTAGAATGTAAAATAGACTAGTATTCTAATTGAATATGGGATTCAAAACAAATACTATAATGCTGACTAAACTAAAGAAATAACATAAATTAAACAAATTCGTGATTAAGTTAGAAACTTAATAAATCTAAATCTCCTAAAAATTGTCAATAAAAACATAGTTTTTCAAGTGACAATTAATTTGTTTCGTTCGGACAACATTGATATCGCTTGAACTAAATACCAAATTCTCTTCAAATATATTAATTACATCACTTGAAAATGTCTCTAAAAAGAATATTGATAAAACCCATAACAGTGATTTTGGTAATCCAGCTTACATTCCTTTTTAATTAGTGACAATTAGTTTTTTCAATTTTCCTTTTGGGAAGTTCTCTTGAAGAGATTTTAGATGGGAGTGATCTTAGGTGTCAATGAAGATTTACCTGTCAATGACACTCTAAATTACCAAAAAAAAATTACCCCAATGAGTATAAATTTTCTCAGACAATTTTCTTGTCATCCAACCTTTCCATAATCAACGTACAATGCCCCCCATAAATCCTAAACCCTAACCGTAATCTTCTCTACAACACCCTTATTGAATCACTTTGTGTGCATCAACATGAAGAAGGTCTTCTACTACAACTACATCCCAAACAAAGCAGAAGAAGAAGCATGCAAAGTTAGCAACACCCCATGGCAGGTGACTCGTGTGCTCGAAGAGATAAGAGACATATACCCTCCACCAGTAATCGATTACCAGAACCCATGGCAGATCAAAAAGACCCTTACCCACTACGAAGCCGCGACTGGAAAGCTCGTCGTGTCGTTTGTCGACGCCTTTGAACATGTCTTTAGGTATTGGACGTTGTGCATGGCTAACCATGTGGTGTTAGGGCATAAGGTGACGGTCATCGTGTGGGATGTCACTGAACAGAACAACCCAAAGAGGTATCGTAACGACAGCGTATTTTTCGAGATGTTGCCGAATGATGACTATATTCTAGCGTGCATGGATGTGTTTAAAGATCAATGCTTGAATGTTGATGATGAGATTGGGGTGTTCTGGGATCCCAGAGCTTCAACTTTTCAATTCAAGTTGCTTTGTAGGGGTAAGCTAATGTGATTGGTGTTTTCTCTATTTTCTTACTAATGTTACGTATTGAGAAGGGCAATTAGTTTTAGTCCATTTTTTTTTTTTTATTAAGATATGAAACATTATTATGGTGAAATTGATGGTGGCAACATTTCAAAGAAATTCTTTTTTTTTTTTTTCTGTTTTAAAAATATCAACTTGCACGCAACTCAAGTAATCCTAACATCCCAACCTCAAGGTATAAGTGATGATGAGCCTTATCCTATCTACAACAACCTGTCTGACAAATAAATCTTGAAGATCTAAGAAGTTATAAGAGACTCTAAGAGTATTATATGCCTTGTAGGTGGGAAGCCAGGTTGGTCCCATGTCTCCAATTATGATATTAGCTCCAATTACTAGTTATTTTGAATTTTATTATCTCAATTTCTCCTATTGGAAGGTGTTTTTCTGCATTTATACCCCAAAAATGCTAAGACCCGAATAAGTAAATCAAATAGTCAATCAATAAGTCGAAATAGCATCTCACCCGCTATCTAACTCGTGGCACGATCTTTTTAGTTGCAAAACGAAATTGAAATTGTACTCTTTTAGTCTAAATTTAGAATAGAATTTTTGTAGAGCTTAATTATTGGTTACTCATTTTCAAAGTTATTTTCCTCTAGTCTTTTGAATCATATGGTCCATCAAACGAAATAAAAAAATTATATTTTATTTTAAGTACATTAATGTCACACACACATACCGATGTGTTTTGCTCAGCAACACGTTACGGGAATTCCGGATTGAGGTGCAAAGCCATGTGAAGTTGGATATATATGAACCCTGAATGAGACAGTTCATATGGTGGAGCAGACTATGATCAACTCAATTGTTTTTCAACCCCACAAAGGGAACTAGACATGTATATTATAGTTCAATAGCGAACCAGTGCAATGTACGAAATTTGCACCCTTCCACCCCCGGCATCCAGCTACAGCCACAGCTGACTCAATGGAACTGTTTGATTAAAATATCTACTTCATCGATTACGTTACACAAGAACATTGACATTATTCATGGACAACAAGATATATCAAAGGGCCACCATTCATAAATAAAACTAACACCCACTGAACTTCATCTGATGATGTCTTCCTCTGTGCCAAAATGGAAAGGCTACGATAAGAGGACAGAAATCAAAATTTGAAAATTGCAGCACCGCTCGATGGCTTGGAAGCAAAAACATAGAGGCCAAGATCATTCTTGTTGATCACCCCCTTCTCAATCCTCGATTGATAAAATTGCTCCTGATACAAAACATGGAACCGTTATATGATCTAGATTGTGACAATTGTGAAGCAAATGTTTCCAATAACAAAACAGAAACTAACCTTCAAGTTGAGAATAAATTGAGGGACAATATTCTCTTTCACCAAAGCCACTGCACAACCACCCCAACCAGCTCCTGTAAGTCTTGCCCCAAGAGCACCATTATCTCGACAAATCTTTACAAGTTCTTCCAATTCTGGGCAGCTAGTTTCAGAAAAATTAGAAAGTAAATATTATGTATACCCAGTACAGTTGGTGTAGGCAGGGAAATGTGTTGGGAGATCAAAGTGTCACAGCATAAAGTTTTTGTCATGAATGATTTTAATGTGATGAATAGGTGCTTACCACCCAAGTACCTTTGTTTTTCATTCTTAATTTAAACCATCCAAACAAATATTGGGTAGTGATTGAGCTTTAGATCCTTTAATACAAAAGAGGTTTTAATTAGAGACATTAAATGTGGATTGTTATGCAATAGATAGAAGGTAACAAGGTGTTTATGAAAAGGAAAATTACTAATTTATGTTGTACATTCACATTCTTTGTTATTACAACAACAACCAATTGTCAATTTCACTAAGTGGATAGACATTCAGGAAGCTGGACTTGTACCTGCACTCATATAGAACACTGCAGCTATAATGGCTGTCGTTCATAAGGTCACCAAGCTTCTTCAGCATGTCCTCCTCACTGAAATAACCACACTTTCAAAGTTACTAATTCAAGAAACATGAAGGGATTCTTTGAGAGTAGTTATATTTACAATGTTTACACTACGTGTTCAAGAGCTGGTTTGATTTATCCAAACTCAATTCTATTTCAGGCTATAAATTAACAGTGTGATTGAGTTTTAGATCCAAACTTATATCCCATCAAAAAATTCTTCACATGTTAAGGCATAGTAGGATACGCCCAATGGGAAAAAGAACACAAACAAAAGCACTTCCAACTGAACAATGGAATCCCAATGTAATGGGACACTAAAGTTTCTTTGGAATTAGATTTAGTGAATAAAAGAATAGAGAAAAAAATATCCCGAAGATAGTAGCAACTTTAAAGTCAACAAGTTCTTTTAATTTGAAACTTTTTTCTAACTTCCGAACAAGTTATACAGCATGGTTAACAAGTCACTGAGCACTGGAGATTTTCTCATTAACATGCCTAGAGAAGATTTATCACATATAAAAAATTGTTGCAAATGCAAAAGCCATAAGTTTGGACAACACATATTAGGATATGTCTCATATGCTTATTATGACTCACCCTAGTTTTGATAATACAGTGTCCTTGAAAGCATATACCCGCTTGGCTTCAGAGTAGACATGGGAGGCTCTCTGGAAAATGAACGTAGAACATTTATAAGTGCATATACACCCATAATATCACAGTGAAATTAAAGTTCCAGAAATTAACAGACATTATTCAGATGACAGAAGTCCTATAAAGAGGAGAATTATTGGATGGTAAGGCGTGCAGAAATTAGCCAAAAATGTGGCGAGGTACTGTACCAGGAGATTCAGGACCTAAGATAGTTGTTCAATTACAGAAAAAGAAAAGTGACAACAAAGGATATAAGGTTACAAATATTACCATGCTTTGCAAAGCCTGCACTTTTTGAAAGAAATATTCTAAATTTCTAATAGGCCCACTCTACTACCACGTTACATGCAGAGAGTTTAAGAGGTAAAAATTGCATGGATAGCCATTTCCAAACAATTGAAAATTCAATCATTTAATTAACAGAACACACATACATAATTCAAAGAAATATATGCAAAGTCGAATCATAATTCACTTTAAAAACTAGAACTTAAAGCACTTCCAGGCAAAGAACAAAAGATCACCTGGAATAACTTATAGTGATTGGCAGCTTTTAGCACATCCATAGAAGTTGGAGAATCAGCAAAGATTGCTTGCAGGCTTTCCTCCGTGATCTTCTCAATGTCTTCAGCTGTATAAGGGTCTTCAACTAAAAGTTCCTGCAGCAATGAAGAATGGTGCAACCTGATATTTATGGTTGAATAAGAAAATATGAAAAAACAACCATTATATCCCAGTAACTCAATATATTTTATGAAAACAATCTATGAATGGTTTTACTTTTACATAAGTATGGGTATAGCAAAAATAAATTATCAATCAAATAGTAAGTTCAGTAGAACACTTGCTGTAGATACCTTGACAGCAACAACGGGATCAGAAGATCCGGCAAATGAAACGCATAGCCCTTCAACATCAGAAAGAGTTTTTGCTTTGGTAATAGCCTCCTGAGGTTTCATACCAAGCTTTATTCCAAGAACGATCTGCCAAAGTCGCCAAGGCTAGAATTAGAAACAAATTGGTGAACAGGTGAGAGGAACGAGCCAACATGAGCCAAGAGAGAGCAATGTCTTGCTGTTGCTATAGAATTGGGTGACACCATAAATAGTGTATCCAGTAGATGCTACAATTAGGATCTCTAGGAATGGACAGGAAGAGCGGACAGCATCTTGCATTCCAACCCTATAGCATTGGATGCACTGCAAAGAGCGAGACAGTAGATGGTACACATATAGGAGCTCCTAAAATGACCGTAGATCTATAGAGATATTCTTCAGTGGAATAATGACATGAATGATAACCTCCATCCTAAAATTTCTATAAATTTTAGGAATTTGAGAAATGGACACATAATGCCAAAGGTCACCTACAGAGGCTGAGCTCCTTTGAAGCACCTTGAAAGGTGAATAATGTGTGTTCACAAAGTCACAACGTGAAACTCATTGAAAATTAATTCAAAAGACAGTATTAGGATGGGGGAATATATCACAAATTATTAGATCACTAATAGATTTTACTTAGCTAATTTACTAAACATACATTGAAATACAATAAAACTTACAGCAGCTAGACGGCATTCAACAACCCGATTATTGTAATTTGTAGCAGCAGTGACTGCTTTCTGGGATTCGGCCAATGAATGGGCTATTACAAAAGACCCACCAGCAGGAAGTTGCACATCAGTTGCACGAATAGGGTTAAAGTCAATTAATTCGGCGAACCCGGATTGGGCCATGACAGAGATTGCCTATCAAGTGAAGCAATTTATCAACTGACAGGTTATGACCATCAAACACAAGAAATCAGATAAAACAATAATAATGATAAGAATAATACCCAAAACAATAATAATAACAGACATAGTCGTTCAATTTATAGGCATGAAACAACAGATGCTGGGGGAGCATCACCAAAGGTTAATGCATAATACAAATCCAGCTTTAACTTAAACAAAGTAAGTAGTTATCCTCAAGAAGTAATAAGATTGTATCTTCAAAAACTGAAATTATGAAAGGCCGTGATCAGACTAAGGTGAAAAAACAGTAAACATTGATGTCAATTTAACGTAGGACAGCCATGGATTCGAGAATCCGGCAATCTAAAGTGTACTCGTCTCCGATGAAAACAAGGACAAGTGATCCAATATATTGTACAGTCAGACAACTCACAATTGTTCGTTTTGTACAATAACAAGTTTGAAATCCATATAAGATATCACCAGTATATAACTGAAAAAATTGACGCTTTGCAAGATATCAGCTCATGTCAGAGCAGGTTTTGTACATCGAAATCATGCAAAATAGGGAACATTGCAGGGTACTTTCGAAATGATAGTTATGTAATCAAAAACAAAGTCAACATCCCAGCTATTTGCGGACAAAAAATATTGTAAAGATACTTTCACGGTTTCTCCTATGTGTTCAAAAGAGACGGAACTACAGCATTAAATTTAAATATCCCACAAACATGTGCAAAGTGCTTCACTTCCAATATCTCAATTTCACAAAGGTGAAGTGAGAAAGCCCTGAAGTGAGAGAAACAGCAGCCAGGACTGGCAGATTTCATGAAGCACACACTAAATGATAGTGTCCTAGATCAAAAATCTTAAAAGCTCAACTATAAGGCCAACAGATATAACAAGGATTTAACTGAAATCGACTACTCATGTGTGATCCAAGCAATACTAGCAACCACTCTTATGAAAGCATTGTCCATAGAAATGATAGTAGGAGGCAACTGAAAAACACCACTTCCATGGGAAGGTCAAATACAGACAAGAATATGTTCTCATAAGCAGTTGCAGCATGTTTTCCTACTGTCCTTTTAGAAGAGTCCAGCAGAGATGACTCAGGAGTAGTTGAATGATTTTCACCGGAATAAAGCAGATATGTATTACCTGGTCCATTCCACCAGATTGTGTCCCAATGTGTTGTTCACATTCACATGTAAGTTGAGCAATATCTTTCTGCATAATTAAGGAATGAAATTAGAATCAAACTTACAGAAAAAAAGATAAATAACGTTTTCACTAGAAAGCAGGAAAGGTACTGTCTGACAGTTTTCCATCTACTAATCTGTAGAAAGGGATGTCAGAGTTAAGAGCAAATATGGAACACAAATACAGTACAGCAGTGAGTAAAATTCTGAGCACAGGAGTCAACCCTCGGGTAAACGTCAGATATATGACAAGCTATCAGCACGTTGGTGCCAAGATTGTTATGGAAACATTTGTGAGATTTTCATAAAATGCCTCACATGAATTTTCTCATTTTAAGTTGTATTATTTCCTTCCCACGTGTTTTATAGTTATGCTTAGACAACTAATCAGGTTTTCGTTCAATTGCTATCTGATCAGGTTTATGTTCAATTTCTGTAGAAAAACAAACAAATATAGTGGCAATCAACAAATCAAACTTAATTTGCATTGCAATAATTCCACAGTTCATTGTAAGTTGATGCATGTTTCAAATCTCTTCCTGTCAAAATGCAGAGACAATTACGAAGAAATAAAGCCAAATACCTACACTGAAATTTCATGAGAGACACAATTACTTATTGTTACTATGGATCGGTTGGGTACAGACATAACTTTTGGCATTATTGCAAAAGCTGCCTTCAAGTTCAAATCTACAACCTCAAGTTTATTAGGCCGAATTTTACCTACTGAACTATAGGCCCCTTGTCTACCAAATATAACACCTCTTTCTAGATATTTGGAGAAATAATCAGAATACCTTTGGAAAGTTCGCATCAAATGAAGCCATTATAGCAATTGTAGAAGAGCAAACAAATGCTGCAGAGCTCGACAATCCAGACCCTGTGTGAAAAAGAAGTGTTTTCATGAAATTCTACAAATAAAACTGCCACGGCAAAAAAGTATTGCTAAAGCTAACTGGTTCATTTATAGTCTGTAAATAAAAAAGGGAGATAGTATACCTGTAGGAACTGTGCCATCAACAATAACATCAAGTCCAACTGGTACACCAGCATCCAACCCTTTTGATTTAGCATACTCATGGTAACCTTTATACCTGCATAATCCAGGCCATCAATTTCTAGAACGAGGAATTTTGCGAAGTAGTCATCCAAACCTGCCTTCATACCAAGCCTAAACATGGTAAATGAGATAAACCTAATGCTACTCAACACCACAACCGTTAGTTGACATCACTATTTAGTATCAACCGAACTGAATGTAGCTCAATTATTTGCTTAAAGAAAGCAATAACATCAAAGGACGAGGCAAAAATACCAAACTTAATAACCAACAGTATGGTCTAGTGTCTCACCCACAAATGAAATAATGACCCCATCTGTGTTTTTGTAGATCAATCTCCTGCAAAGTGAAAAAAGGCCAGTATGTCAGCATACACAAAATACAGAAACAAATTGACAAAAAGAAAAGCCATTACAAAAAGGAAAGAACTGCAATGCATAATTAGAGGCTAGATAGATCCATGATGCTGTCAAACATGTTCAAATTCCATAGAGATATAGATATAGTTGGATGCCAAACCATAAACTATACGCAATGTATTCAGGTTTTCTTTCCTGAAAGAAAACCAAGTAGTAGGAGAATTATAGATTAAAACCTAACAAGAAATGTGATTCTAATGTTTTTCTTTCCTTTTTATCCTTATTTAAGAAAGAGCAAAAGAAAGATGGTTTCAACGAATACACCAAGATTGGTTATATACAATCAACTCTTCAATGCATCTTCAGGGCAAAATAATGATTTGGGGATTCCCTCAGCTTCAAACTTAAAGTCCTTAGTTTCATATATCCATAATACTCTAAATTCTTTTCAAAAAATACAATAAAAAATCTTGTCTTTACCCTTTTACTCGGGCTTAATATAGAAGGAAGAGAAAATCCATTCAAATGTAATGCCCTGACTTTTTAGCCCACTTTCTTATTCACACCTCTCAGTATTTGATTTTAAAGAACTGCACGTTGGAACCATGGGAATTATCACAACATTACAGATCCACATGAAGAGTCATCATATTGAGATGCTAGCTATGGAGCGCATAGAATCAGAGCCATCCTCATTCAGAGCTCACATATCAAGGTTAACAAAATAAAGGTTATATTTTTTCAGTAAAAATAATTTCCATGCTAAGATTCCAAGTGAAGATTCATGCTTTATGTCTCCATGATACATGTATCTTCCTAAATTTTCTCATCCCACAATATATAAGAGTCTAAATGTCCCCTCACAAAATTCAAGTCAAATATTATTCAAAATTTATAAAACAGAAAAGTGCACAGCTTTAAATTTTTATCTTGCTAAAGATACATTGAAACAAGGCAAGCTGTCATAGCATGACAGTTTCCAAAACCCCATCACACCATGCTACCACCACCACCACCCAGGGGCAAAGGTTTTGTGATAAATCATCACCCAAAAACAAATTAATTTAACCATAAGTAGAATATAACCAACCAGTAATAGCACATAGGTCAATATTGCACAAAATTTTTGTCAGCCCAATAAAACTAGAGATTTAGAAACAAATCAACACGCTCAAGAGATTCAGGAGACTAGCTTTAAGTCTGCCTCAGTCAATTTAAAAGTAAAACAACAGCAACATTCATTCACAAACACGCATTCCCAAGCGAAACTGAAAATTCTACAGATCAAAAATATACAGAGATAGTTCCGCACCTGTTCAGGGTCAGCGGGATAAGTACACATGGTGTACTTGTCATCATTAACATTGGCAATCCGCAGCAACTTTTCAGATTCTCCGGCGTCGTGTTTCCGTATGGCCACAATCGTGTCTTGCCGAATTGCCATTGGCAACACCGAGTACCCCTCATAGTCAATATGCTCTCCAATCAAATTCACTCTCCCTATAAATTCAACAACACATTATGTGCTAAATACAATCAGACTTACATATATAAACACACTCACATACATAAATATATATATGTGTGTGTAATGTATATTGAGACAGATTGGAATGAAAACTGACCCGGAGATCGAGCGTAGAGATGAGGAGGGTGCCCGAAGAATTGGATGAATTTGGATTTTAATATGTCATATCGAAGCTGAGCTTCTTCGAGTTGTGATCCGTCTCCGTACACTGGTTCGAGTGTGGAAAAGATTGGAACCGGTAGCTCTTCGTGCCTCGCCATTGAAATGCAGTTGTCGTGTTTCCCTGAAACTCAGTGTACGTATCCAACGCAGCTAAAGCTTTATCTTTTGTTGGTGGAAGATTAAAACATCGATAAGAAAACGACATGCCCTCGATGAGCCTTCTTTATAGGACACAACACTCCTTAGTTTGGTTATTCTCCGGAATTATTGTTACATACTATTATTATCTATATTTTTTTTTAATAATCAAGAATATTCAAACCGACTTATATATTTTTAAAACTTTTTCACACTCCGGATTACATTAAAGACTTTTAAAAGTGGTGTTTGCTTTTTCAAGAGAGAGGAAAAGTAGAGATATGGATAAATAATTGAACATAAATGATGATTTTGGATAAAGTTTCTTTCTCTGGCCTTTGAATTAGTCTTGACCAGAACAGCGATGACTTACAGATTTGACGGTAGTTAAACATCCGCGGATTTGGGGCTAAAAGAGGGGTGTTTGCGTAATATGCTCGAACCGAATTATTCGGATTTAGTTGAAGTTTAGCTAAGCCTCGTTTTTAAAAACTTTATTTATTTATATAAAAAATAATCAAGTTACTTTAATTCGGCTCGATCTTATAAATCAATTCTAATATTGTGCATGAAAAACCTTACAAAACAAAAACTATAATTTATACTTTGACCCAATAATTCTGGGTTTGATCTGACACTGTCTCTTCGACTATTAAATTTTTTATATCGTCCCTTTAATTTTATATTGTCCCAAAGATAAATATTTATATTTTGAACAAAAAAATCTCCAAATGGGTAGAAAGTAAGTGTTTTCAATGAAACAATTAGAACAATATGTAATTAATAACTATAATTAGAGGTTCAATACGAGAAACATGAAAATTAAATAATCAATATGAAACCAATAACTATAATTTGAGGTGCACAATATAAAACTGTAACTATTGAATAAACAATGTAAAAGAAGGACCACCGAGTAGGGTGGTCTAGTGGTAATATCGGCCTTATTTCTCATCCAGAGATTGGGAGTTCAAATTTTAAAGTCTTCATTAGGTCTCAGTGATTGACCGTTATACTAGGCTAACTAAGTCTGGTTCCAAAAAGTGTTCCAAGCACAATCAAGAATCTTATGATTCCACCGATAAGGGTCTAACGGAATGGTCGTTAAGTGTTCTTCCTTGTCTCCACACTTTTTTCACACACAAAAATAAATAAATAAACAATGTAAAACAAGGAATATAGATGAGGAGTCAAAATATAATTTGCCCTAAAAGAGAAAATAATTATAAGCTCTACAACACCCCATAATTTGCTTATTCTCAAATCTCCATAGTTTACCACTTTATATGTTCAGGGCTCGTTGTCAAAATCACATTTTCAGCATTGAGGTGTCTTTCTTTTTGCTTGGCCAAAAAAATGGTGAGGAAACAGGAGAACGCTAAGAGATCACCTTGATGGGTCCTCAATGGTGAAATCATAAAGCTCTTGATCTTATTTGTTACACCTTTCAAGAGCAAACTTAAATAGACTAATTTAACGGTCAACTATCGAACATCAATTTAGATTTTAAGATTCAAACCTCCAACTTCGAGGTTAAGAAATTCGATCGATACCCAATTAAACTACCCCACTCAATAACAACATTGAAGCATCATTGTCGTAAAAAGCATATAGATACCTTGTAATTTGCACCGAAATAGAATTTTATGAGAGACGTATGAGGTGTGGTGCGTCTGGTCCGCGTTAATTTCTTCTTAAATAAGATCAATTTAAGATGTCCTGGGGTATAGCCCAACGCCACTTGTTTGTCTTACAATGAGAAAGAATTTCAGGTGACTAGTCTGATTCTCACCTGAGTTCTGCCGGGATTGTGATTCCAGATGGCTAATTTATTTTTTTTTCCATTAACTCAGAATCGTACTTAGCACATGTTTTTTTTTTATCACTTTAATGAGTATTTTTATAATTTTTGTAAGTTATTTTACAATCAAAAAATTTATTATTTTTATAGGTGATTTATCACTGTTGTAAAAACTATTTATACTATTTTTTTTGAGGTACCACAACATTGATAAAAAAAACTTACAAATGTGGTAAAAATAACCATAAATGTGCTGACATTTTTTTCCCAATACCGTAGTCAAACTCATGACTTTATTACCACCGCATTTTGTTTGCAAATCCAATATATGAAACATGTGACATGATGATGAGTCTTGGTGTAAGGTGATGGATGTTTCCTGCAGCTGATGCTCATTTTTTTCTAATTGCCAATTTCTATGATACTTGTTGAAAGGCTACAAATCATTGGTACGGATAACAAAAGCCCATTGCAAAGATGTACCAAGTAAATCAATAGACAACAACAGCCGAAAAAAACACACAATAGATACACATCCAAGTAAAAGCAGACACACAAACCCAGGGAAAATGATATGCTTACCAAGAGAAAAAGTTAATTGGTCCTTCTGATCTAACCAACCACATTGATTTGGTAAAGGTTCTGGTAAACTTTTTTTTGGTAAGCAAAGCACTACTTGGAAAAATACTCTTATCTACACAGTGATGTCAACTTGTCTGCCCTTTAAGAAATGATATAGCACTGCTCGACGGTCCTATATGAAATATTGTTTTTAAGAAACAGACAAGTTAAAATGAGAAGTTGCCAACCTCTTCATCTTCATCTTCATCTTCATCATCATCTATAACATCATCCTCAGTAAACCTTTCATAATCATCTTCATCTTCCTCTTTTTCATCTTCCATCATGCTCTTACTAGCATCTCTATCTTTCAAACCAGTGCTCAATACCACAGTTTCTCCCCTGGACTTCTCCATATCTTTCCTCAGCTTTTCCATGTTCTGCCGCCTATGCTCTTCCTCCAAACGTTGCTTCTCAACACGTCTCTTGTCAAGATCAGCCCTGCAAAAGCAGAAATTGAGGCACAAATGTGAATTTCAGTTTACATAACTCAGTGGAAGTTTATGAATTGGACAAGCAAAAGGAAACAGCATGCCCATCTCATTGAAGCAGTACCACATAAAGGGGGAAAATGACAAATAATGGAGTTGAGGAAATACTTATAAGTTTCCATGTATTCCTCAGCACTTGCTTCAATAGCCTTAAAGAAAGCATCCATCCCAGCACCAGAAACGGCAGACACTCCAACAGATTGTAAATTCTTATAGAATTCCTCCAGTGCAAGAGAGAGGCTCCGAGTCAGTGTTGATGTGTAAGACTGATCCGATTCTAATGCCGCATGAAATGTTTCAAAATCTTCCATCCACTAATTAACAGTAATTGTTGAAACATCAGAAAATAGCTATTTAAACAAACTCAGCCAAGAGTATAACTGCTACTGCAAGACTCAATTTGCTCTACAACAGGAATGGTATTGGTTGTTCAATACTTTCTTATTCTAAAGATTAGTCTTTCTTACTTTTGAAAGTAGTATTTTCTAATTTTCTAAACGAGTATCAATAAGATCAAGTTCAATCCAGTACTTAAACAAAAAAAAAATAAAAATTGAACTCTAGTAAGTCGAGCCATTGTTGAGCAGCAAATGCATATGGCACACCCAATTCTTCGTTTTGCGAATGTTCCTCTTTTATTCATTTCAGCAATTTGGAAAGCATTTTGCGAAATGCAGTAGGCTTACAAGGTCCAAGTGACTTGATAATGCAAATCTTCATCACATGTTTACTAACAAGATTTTGTTTCTTATTAAAAAAATATTTATTTTTAATGACCAACACAACAAGCTGGCAAAAAAAACAGCAGAATGCTGAAACTTGGGATGTAATATTACACTTAACAGGGTCAGTAATATGTGGCTATATGGGAATGGGAAGGATGGGAGGTACCTCTTTGGGAGCACACATAAACTAATTAAAATGGTACAACCTAATTCACTAGAAGAGTATCGACACCAAATTGCATCCAAATTAGGCCTGTCAATCATGTCGAGTGAAGTGGATTCATGTCGGGTGTTAGCGGGTTCGTATCAGAAAGTATTTCACCCATACCCGATTCGTTTATTAATTCTTATCTAATAAGTCGTGTTATATTAAATTCGTGTCATGTATGAATCGTATATAACCGGCATATAAACGAGTCGTGTTTTGTATTTCTTTTGATTGACTTCACTCATTCCCAATTTGTTTATTAATCGTGTCGTGTCAGATCCATTCGTTTATGAAACAAACGGCTTAAAAAAGATCCAAACCCTCTAAATTCGTGTTGTGTTAATGAGTCGTGTCATATTTTGGCACCCTTAATCCAAATGCACCACCTTCATACTCACATGACCAAGAAAGGATTTCACAAAGTGCTTGAGCAATAAGGTGATGTTTGGATGGCAACAGAAAAATAAAAGCTTGGTAAAAGTATGACAATATTGCATGAGGTGACAATTTTATCAAAATGTTTTGCACCAACTTGAGAAAATACATATGGAAGTTTTTAGCCAAATAGAAGTAATGGGTGGATACGGGAAAATCTGAAAGTGCTTGTATCAAATTTGTTGTCTTCAACCTAACAACCCCATTCCACATCTTAAATTACATAAATTACCAAATAGGTTTATGTGCATGGTAAACATGTAAAAGATTTGTCGCTTGTTTCGAGTTTTATTAAATTGCCTATTATTACATGAACACGTTTGCATACAATATGATGATGCTGATGATGAGAAACAGATTAATAGCACATCAAGAATATAGACAAATAAGAAAAAAAAAGAATAAATTGACCATATATTGCATATTTCTGCTAGACTTATGTCAATTTATGATAACAGAGGTGCACCAAATTTCCACCTACAAACTAATACAAGAGATAGAGGGGATAAACCTATGAGGCTAGAATATTCTTGTGAAGCCTTTTGTAATATACGCAGTTTGTCTACAATGACAACTTACTTGAGGATGAAACAAATGCTAATTCAAGTAAATAATAAATGTGTATGTTCATAATTTATTGGGGGATAGATGTGAGACACAGATTTAAAACAAATCAGCAAAAGTGTTCCTTTTCTCCCCCAAAAATATGTAAGGCGGGCTAAAATGCTCATCTAACTGCACATTCATGACATAGGGCAGATTTAGGAATTCATTAGAATTAAAATTCAATTAAGAATATTTCATTTTACTCTAAATTGATTAGTTGACTAAATCATGCAGCTTGGAAGAGCAATGAAGAAGTTGCTCCAGCGATAAACCAATGGCCCAGACATAATAGAGTGCAAACAATTTTATAATGAAAGCAATCTGACATAAGAAAGACTTTACCTCCAAAGCAAACTGATGTTGTGCCACATCAATCTTGTTAAATGCCAATATCAATGGCAACCGTGTCTTGTAGAGAATGCTACAAGCATAAAGCATATTGCTCATGAAAGTAGCTGGACTTGCTGAACGAGGTGTATCAACTACATAAGTGACCACAGTAGGAAAAGTTGAAGCAAAAGCTTCAGTAATAATTGCTCCAGAAGCAGACCAAGTAAAAATCTCAATCTGACCAGGAGTGTCCACAAGAACATAATCGAGTTGATCTGCTCGCTTTTCAATCACTGATATGACCTGAAAATAGACACTTCCAGGCTGAGTTCCATTGAATAAGGTAGGAAAAACAGACAAAAAAAAGACAAAACATGATTAGATGGTTTCAAAGTAAGAGTGCAAGAGCACCAACCCAATATGCAAACATATCAGTAGTTCTGGACGCAGTATAAAGATATCATGTAATCCAAATAGCTTATACAGTTCTTCCAAGTGCAAATGAAATTTGTTAAGATTTAGTGACTGCTGTAAGGAATTTGCAACCCATTGAAGAGGGCCCAAAACCTCCCCATAGAGTGCCTAATGGCCAAAGATTATGGCAGCAGAAATGCAACGTCAAAATCACAAAAAAAAACCTGTAGCTCCAGTTATAGGCTTTACCTCATCAAACTTTGTGGAGAACAAGTTAAGTGATGTCAGAATTCCTCCATTAGGACCAAGATTGAATTGCTTCATTACTTCCTTGTACCTCACAGTGTCTCTTATATCAATGTTCGCACCGAATGGCAGAGTCAAGACAGCAGGGTCAAGGTTCATGACATATCCCCTAATATTTGATGCTTGTGTGTGGCAAACCAACCGATGAAGAAACGTAGTCTTTCCACTCCCTTATCAAATTCAATACATTTATCAACCCCTGTACTCATAAAATAGTATAGTAATTCAACATTTAGTGCTGCAATTCACACATTACCTGCCATTCCCACAACTATAATAATAACCGGTTTTCTCTTGAAGTTGGTTGAAGCTCCTGCCTGTGAAGATGATGACTCCTCGACTCGCAATTTCTCCATTGATTTAGAGATATCATCTTTATCCTTACTCTTTAACCAAACAACAACAGGCAGCAATACAATGTATGGACACACAATTAGAGACAATGAAATTAAACCAAAGAAGACTAATAATTGGAAAATGTAATCTGAGCAGTTTACATTGATATCGGATGACACCTCTGAGTCCAATTGCATCAAAGACGAGGCTTCCTCTGGTTCTTTCGAGCTCGAATTTATGGACTGAGAATCAATCTCCATTTCTTAATTTTTCGTATAACAACAGTTGAGCCTTTTACTGCCCTAGCACCATGGAAATCACAAAGTTTAAGGTTGTGGATGGTTTAGGGTCACAAATTTCGAAAAATTTCATCTATAATCTCAATGGTCCCCATTGAACAACGCTTAATTCAAACACAAAATCATAATTTCAATTCAAGCATAAAATTCCCTATTCAAGCAAGAAATTCCAATAATACCAATTACTTTAGCTCCAATTACTCTCAATCCTAATCCAAGAATATCTATACTTAAAGCAAAGATATCAATGGGCAAAAGAAAAATACACTGGGCACACTAATATTAGAATAGCGTGCAATTGGATTTCTTTAAATCATATATCAAAGTTAAATACACTTGTTAAATAAATCCACCTTATACTCCATTTGATTCTCCGCCAACCAAATTACCAACCCTACTACTTGCTAAAAAGAAAAGAACCTAACAAAATTTTAGCATATAATCACACTAAGAGATTGCAACATTATAGAGAAACATGAAACCAAAGATATTAAAGAGCTATATTGAATAAAAGTTTATATCTCATACCGAAAAAACTGAACCTTAAGCAACAAACTTAACTAACAACTTAGTATTAAAAAAATGAACTCATCATCATGCAAAACCAACATAGAAAATTAGCATAACAAAGACAACAAAGAAAATTACTAGTATAAATTATAATAGACCCAAACCATTCTATGAATGCTTAGAAAATGCTAATTATCCTAATTATGCGCGGTAATGCTAAACAACCTCCACAATTAAAATGTACAATGTCACCCTGCAAAATGGTTATTATTTAAAACTAAAAGTCAAGTAACTGTTCAAGTAATTACAACAAGGACTCAATAACTAGAAAAAGACATTTTAACAAACGGTGATCTGCTTAGAAATTTAATGAACAGGTGTTGTGCATTCCAGATGGGCCGGAGAGAGAAAGATGGGAGATTTCCTACAAAACACCCAAATTAATAAATTATCTTAACATTAAACACCCAATTAGAGAAAACCTAATATTCAATTCCCTACAAAATACACAAATCAACATTAAAACACCCAATCAAAAAACCTAATATTCAACCCAAACTAACAATAAACACACAAATTAACATTAACAAAAAACATTGATGTAAAGTTTGTGAGCATGTGACTATGCTGTATGCGTGTGTGTTGCGTGTGATGTTGTGCTCTGTGTGTGTGGGTGTGTGTGCCACTGCCCGTGCGTGATGTGTGCAGCTGTGTGCGCGCGACTGGAGAGAGGTGAAGACAGAGAGGTGCGATAGAGAGGGGGGACTGTGTGTGGCCGCTGGGTCTGTGGTGGAAAGAGAGAGAGAGAGAGAGGCCAACCTGGATGTAGGGGAGGTCGTCGTCGTCAGTGGATCTAGGAGACGGTGGTGTTGGCCGGTGGCGAAGGTGTTGCTGTCGCGAGTGAAGCAGAGTTGCTAATGCTTGGGAAGTATTTTTTACCAGGGGTTTGCTTCGACTCTTCCCTCTGCGTATATACAACTCTAAAATACCCACCCCGCCCTAGATTGCAAATCTTAAAATGAAACGGCGCCGTGGACGAACACCCATACAATAAAGTAGCTATAATTTTTTGTCTCTACCTTTTCGTGCCTCAGAACGCTTGATGATTATTAATCTGATAATTTTCATACCAACTTTTTCTACTTTTATCTTATATTCTCTCTCACTCTCTCATATTATTATCTTATTTTTATGTTTTCTAAGTGTTATTTTTTTATTATTTACTCCATAAAACATATGAAATTACATGTTATATAATTATTTATTTCATAAAATTAATTCAAAATTTTATATATTTGACAACATGTATTTTGTCACTTGCTTCTTAATTTATAAATAACACTTAATGTAAATAAAAAATAGCAGTTCACGATTCGAGGTTTTTTTTATCTGAGTTTCACATTTGTACTTGAAATTAAGTCTTAGTTGATTCAGGGCCTAAATTCTTCTAAAATTTTCATTGATAATGGTTTTTATATAGATTGTTTTTTTATTAATATTTGCTCTATTTGTTATAACTTTGGGACTAAATTTTTTAAATTATTTCGAACTATCAATTTTTCAAAAATTTTTGTCAACTTTTTAATTTTTGTTCACTTATTTTTATTTGAACCATAGATTTTTGAGTTTAACAAGCGAATGTGAGCGATTCTTTTAAAAAAAAAGTTGGGGTGAACAATTGGTTTGGTTTAAGTATGTGCGGTTGAATCTTGACCAAAAGAAAATATATCAAATGATATAGTAAGAAATAATATGCTATGGTGTGAAAAAATCTGTATTTAAATTTTATGGGTTAAAATACAAATTTTAAAGTTTATATACAACAAAAAAAATTATAATTTAAGGTCAATTTTATATTTGTTTAATCAACAACAAATAATATTCAACACGAAATAAACCTTAAATTGTAAATTAATATATATTTTTATAAAAAATTGACATTTAATTTTGTCCAATTTATATTCAAATTTGTCGAATTAATATCAAATTAAATTTTATTGTTATCAAATTAATATTTAAATTCATTTAATCAATTTTTTGGGGTACTAAATTATATCAATTTTTTGGGTACTAAATCAAATGTTATTTTATTTTATAAAATTTTTAATTTTTTTGGCTACTAAAATTGGAGAAAGGCAATTATAAAAATAATAATTTTTTTGAGGTAATAAAGTGATCAATTTTCATTAGAAATATTGAAATTGAAGGGAAAGAGATAGAGGGGTATTTGTGTAATAAATTTTAATCTCCAGGGATCTCCATGTTATTTATAAAATATTTGGGGGTGTCCACATAATATTGTCAAAATTCAGGGAAAGTCCGTATTTTTTACCCTATTTTTAAATTAGATATTATTTTATCATAAAAACTTTAATTATTATATTTCTAATAAAAACAGTTATTAGTTATGAAGGTTTATTGGTAGCCCCAAAATAAATGCATGAGAGTATATTTCTGTGTAATTTATATGTGGAGGATTAAAAATTTGATAATTAAATTTATAATTTTATCGTGCCATTTGGGATTGAATGATGATAGTGATAATAAATTCATGAGTTTTATAAATGCGTAAGATTTGATTAATTTTATTTATCTCTTAAAGATTGTGAATTTAATTGCGTTATTTTTTTTGCTTGAAAATATTTATTAAATGGAGATAAGGTGGATTGAAAATATGGTGATTGTGTTTATAATTGTAATTTGTTATTGAATTGAATGGTGGTAAAGGTGATAAATTCACAAGTCTTATAAATGAGCAAAATTTGTTTTATTACTTAAAAATTATAAATTTCAATAAATTAAGTTAGTATTTTTTATTCCGGAGGCATTTGTATATGTCGTATTGTTTTGAAGAGTTTTATATATTTTTACAATAATTTTATTAAAATAGAGGATATGATCGGCGATATATTTCAATTTATTTTAAAAGAATAATTGATATGAAAATTTTTAAACCATTCTTTTTAAATTTAAAGTGTCTTCAGACACGAATAATGACTAGTAATGACTAGTGCTTTAATAAGGGCCCATTCTTGAAAACGAGTGGGGCCAAGATAGCCCACCCAAATGAGCCTTTAGAGGCTGCTCATAACATCTGACCTATATTAATGGATTTATTTTCTTTCAAATTTGATCAACTTTCACTTTGGTCCAGGACAACAAGTTTGGACCTGGTACGACATATGACCGACGCTATTCATTGGGCCATTAGACATATGAGCCGATCTCTTCATTAGTCGATATAACTCATATAAACTTGGACTTTTTATTGGGCTCAAAAAAAAATATTATGTAAATTTTAAATTTTGATAATTATATGTAATGATGCCCACCCTAATATTTTTTGGAAAATTTGGGGGGAGGTACACTTTGTTAAAAATATTCCTGGAAAAATCAATCGCCCAAACTTTTAAGTTTATTTTCTATGAAACATTTGGTGTTCAAATTTTCATATTTTAGTAGTACCTAAATTCATTTACTTATTTTTGCAATATCTAGTAGTTTCCTTTTTTTTTTTTTTGATTATGTTTTTATTGACTAGGTGATTAAAGGCAATAATAATCGTTTGAATTTTAAAAAGATTACAAAAATATATTTGGTAGTTAACGTTTTATTGTATATTGATCTAAATTATAATCATTTTTTTATATCTTATTTTTCATATTCATCGTTTTCAAACAACCACCGATACCCATTATCAATCTTCTACAATAGGGGTCATCAATTTTCTGGTATTTGATGTCACACTATTTTTAAAATTGCGTCACTTTTAATGTCCTACTATTTTTTAATTATGACAGACTATTTTTAAAATTATGTCACCATTTGATGTTACATTATTTTTTTAAGTATGTCACATAATTTTTTAATTATATCACTCTTTATTATGTGAATTCACTATTTGATGTCATGCTATTTCTTAATTATGTTCTTCTTTTATTTACGAATCCAAATTCATGATGTTTTTGAATTTTTGTAGGGATTTGGGGGTTAATAAGTAAGAACTTTTTAGGAAAATCATAACATTTAAATATAAGAAAATAGTTACTTTTGAAATTTAAATAGTTGTCTTTTTTCATGGAAATAATTTCGGTTATACATTTTTATGGAATAATTGCATCAATTTAAAAGTTTTCTCCTTGAATCTTGCATGAGCATTTCGTGATTGAAGGAGTTTGAATGAAACTCCGTTGAAATAGCAACTTAGTTAATGAATTGATTTTGTTTCTTAATTCGGTTTAGCTAATTTAGTAAATAGATAATTAAGGGTATTAGAGTCATTTTAATCAGAAATGTACTTTTTAACAAAAAAATTTGGTGATTGGACTTTTTGACAAATAAGTTATTAACCCACAAATATCTCATATTTTTTTTTTCATATGGAAAATTATGCATAATGATGCCCACCCTAATATATTTTTTTTATCATATGAATTACCTTTAACCTATTCCTAAATAATTAGGAACCTTTGGACATGGTTTCAAATTATGACAACATAGCGGGAAAAATTTTGGATATATAAAAAAAGGTTGTTAGTTTGCAAAACAATTAGGGATTATTTGTTAGCATACAAAACAAAGTGTCATTGTATAATAAAACACAAAGTCATTGTATAAGCGTGTCAAATTACATATTCGATAGTATTGATAGTAAAATTATATCTTTCAAAGAACGAAAAATTCATTGTAATCAATTAAAAATAGTTAAAATTAAACTTATTTTTTTTGTTAAGTGTTGTATTTCAATTTTTTTGGATTTTTTTCTGTTATTGTATGTACACTAATTTTTTATCTTTATGTGCTTGCTGAATTTTTTAGTACCCATAAAAAATTTTCTAGCTAGCTCCACCCTACTACTTGGAGGAGATTTGTGACCATATCTAAGTGTTTGGTGGTGATGGAGTCACGTTTTGGGCTACAGAGACTGTCATCAATGGGGTGGAGTAGCGTGTGCTTGTGCCCTTGTGCCCTGTGGTGTGGAGGGTAATAGTTTTGAAAGAACGTTGTGTCGACTCACTGAGACACAATACAGATCGATAGCTATTCAGCTAGCCTCTCTCTCTCTCTACGTTTCTCTCTCATCTCCTCTGCTGGTACCAAGGAAGTGGTATTGGTCCCTTGGACAGCCAATAGAATGTCTGACACATTTTGTATTTAGATATCTAATCGTATTAATTTGTTTGTATGCAATCCAATATATTTTGAGTTGAGTTTCTATCATGTAAGTACGTATAAAGTCGAGTTAGTGTAAGAAAGGGTTCGAGTCAATCAATTTATCAAACAAGTTTGATTAGTCAATTTTATTGAAACTTGTTTGGCAAGAATTTTTTTTAAATTAAACATTTATCTAATACATTGATATTCTAAGCTTTTCAATTGTACGTGTTTTAGGAAGTTGAATGTGTTATTCTTGTGAAGTAGTCTATGTGAATACAAACTAAGAACAAGGATTCCGAATTATCTTTTTATTTAATATTTAAAGATTTATTTATGCCAGGGTTCTATATTTAATTTTATTTTTTTGATTCGTGTTAAGAGTACCAAAAATTTACTGTTAATAGACCAAAAGCCATGACATTATAAATGTAATTTTTCAAAGATACGATCTCCGTCACTGTCACCTCCACTCCCTCTATCGTCCAAAATGGCTCCGTACTACGATTCATGCTAGTCGTTATCATCTCCATCGTCTCATCGTTGGCCTCGGTGTCCAGTGGTTCCCAAGCTGTTACTCCGGCGATGATCCACCAGCTGCAACTCTCCAACTCTGTGTCGGTCGGCATTGCCTCATCTTCCAACTTCTCCACTCCGAAACCGTCCCAAATCTCCTACGTCGCTTCCTTGTTCACCCTAACAACACATTCGTTAGCCTTTGAAACCATTCAAATGAGAAAAAGCTTGCAAAATCGAAGCATAAGTTGGTGATGTTGTGTGAGCCATTGGATCTGAGGCTTCACATGGTGTCGAGAAGAACTGGTGTGAGG